TCACTTTTTTTTAATAGAAAAAATAAAAAATCATTCAACTATATTGCTTATATATATATAAGCAACCATGATTAAAATAGCTGTGTATTTTTTTTAATGGTTGCTTATATATATATATATATTTTATAATTGAAAGATTTTTGATTTTTTCTATTAACAAAAATTAGGTTAAATTTTGTTCAAATGAATCGAAATGAATGTAGAACAACAATAGGGAAATTTGCTTTTTAAAAATTACAACACATGCTAGTGCAAAATTTTACAATAATTATACTAGGGGCATTATGGTCAATATGTTGGATGTTCCATGTCCTATCATGTCCTATCCATACCAAGCCTCTTAAACAAACATCGGATTAGATAATATTTTGTTAATCCCTCCTTATAATCCTAACTCAATCCAAACATAGGATATGGTACACAATCCAAAGGAATTCGTAATCCTAAGACTATTAGTCATGGGAATACTAATCTAATCTAATCTAATCCATCCAAACAAACATGCCCTTAATTTTAACTACAATAGAAACTGTAGCCATGTTACTAATAGGACAACTTGATAAGTCACCGACAATAAAAATAAGTCTTTGATAGTGAAAAATTGTAATCATTTAAATTATATTCATATCATTAAGATAGAATGATGTAGCAAGTCATTGATAATAGCATGACACGACAAGACACTGATATGAATTAATTCATGTCACTCTATAATATTTTTATCTGTGATTTTACGTCTATTTTTAATGAATTTAATCCAAAAAAAATAGATATTACAATGGATCATATGCAATATTGATAGAACTCCCAATTAGAGAATTACAAGTAAAATTGAAAAACAGACTAAAAATAGATCGTCTGGAGTGAAATTGAAAAACAACACTCCAAGACCTGTATTATAATTTTACAATTCAATTACTCGGCTAATTTGTCACAATGTGCATATTACAATCACATTTTAATCACATCTTAAAAACATAATTTTAATAAGACATTGCAAGATTGAAATCGTATCCTCAACACGTCACGTTGGCACGCTATGCAATGCTAGTGGATGCTTGGGGTGGTGATATCACAATGAAATCATATCTTTAACTTGCGATTTTATATTGAAATTGCTTTTTGAAAATAGGATTTCAAAAAAAATGCACTAATTTGCTAAATAGTTTGAAAAGTGTAGCATTTTTATAAATAATTTTGTTTTTTTTTCAATATTTATAAATTAAGAGAAAAAAAATGCGAATCTTTAGTTTGATAAGAAACAACTCTATCATTCACGCCATAAAAAGTATTTAAATAATGAAACGTGTGAACCAAAGTTATTTTAAAATTAACATACATCATACAAGTTTAAATTTACAATACAATTTAATACTTTTAGGCCATGTTTGATTCACAAGACTAATAGTGAAAGTTTTAATAATCTCATCAAATTAGTATGGTATTTACTAACCAATTGGATTAGTAGGATAAATTATCTCATTGTCCATTGTTTGATTTGCATTAGATAAGAAAACATATGAATGTACGATTACAACTATATTTATCTTCTTTTCCAATCTTACCATCCATCAATGTTTCTTTACAATCTCTACTTTATCAAAATTTCTTCATAAACGTGGTTTTGAAAAAAAAATTATAAATAAATAAATAAAAGCAAAGTAAAAATACAAAATACAAAGGCCATGTTTGGTTTGTTTTTTATTTTTATTTTTTCAAATATGAA